CGCCGCTGGTCCCCGATCTCCCAGTTATAGGGGGCCGACACCGAGTGGGCGGCGCTTATCTTATGCGCGTATCGGATCAGCTCTTCGGATGGTATGGCGTGAGTCGTGGCCTTCGATATGATCTGCAACTTATGCTTCGCCTGATATATGGCCGTCGACTGCGAGGAGACAGTGGTTAAGACATTGCGTTACAACTATTGCTAACATATCGTATGTCTTAAGAGAGAGAGATCTGAAGACATGCAATCAATAGATACCAGTATGTGTTCGGCTTCCTTGAGATTCTTCTGGAGCTGTCGTATCTGAGTGTCGTGTTTGTCCACCTCATCGCGGAGTTCGCACATATTCTTGTGAACCACTTCCTGCTCCTTAGCCATCAGGAGCTCCGCCTTCAGCTCCTTGTCTTTGGCCACCAATAGGTCCGCCAATTGGTTGCTGTCGAGCGTCGGGTTCGCGCGCAACGGCTTCGGTGTCAACACTATTTCCAACAGTTCTCTGCCGAAGAAGGGAATGACAAACAGATGGCAATGAGTGATGACTTCTATCTCAAGAAGTGTTTGTTGTTATGGATTACTTGGCGATCATTTCCATGTCGTCGGCGATGGCTATGAGTCGGTCGCGAACGCACTTCTCCGACATCGTTGTCCTTCTCTTAGCCCTTGGGATCAGTTGGTGGACAACAACAGAGATGACAACTGAACCACCGATTGATTGACAAACAAACTGAACGTCAACTCAAATCACACGTGAATTGAGTGCTAAATACAAAACACTAAACAAAACTTTTTTAGCCCTAAAAAGTACTCATCGGTTGCGATACGACTGTTACTAACGCTATGTTAAACATGATAACTAGTGGTGAGTATTCAGTACTTTTCCATATTGAACTCATACGCGAGTCACGTAGCCTTTCGCTGTACAATCGTGCGCTACTCATATGCGAGTCATAAATAGTCTCAACTTTACGTCTCACAAGCAACACACTTATGATACGATCGTATGATCATATGATTGTCAGGGCATTGAAAGTTCAGGGCATTTATCAAACACAACGAGTCGAGTAGAGTTTACTCGAAAACCGGGGAAAATCCGTACTTTAGTCAACTGGCAATGCAATGGCATTGAGCGGAAAAAACCCTAAACAACAGTTTCCTATTGGCAAACGTCATTAGAGAAAACGGAGTGTTTCGTAGCCATTGGTTTAGGGGATGACTTTGACGAGTATTTCGGGGATTTGACGCCTATTGTGAGCCATTATAGCGTTTGCCATATTTATTGAGGCGTTTATGGTATTTACGGACTGTTTTTGTATGCATTGAACGGCAGTACAGAGACAACACATACACAGCGATAGACAGCACTCACTGAATGTTACTTTCA